ATATATTTATTTATTTATTTATTTATTTATTTATTTATATCCATAAAAAGAAATGAGAAGAAAATTATTCAATGTTTAATATTTTTTTATACAATAATGTTTCTTAGACTTTGTCATCCTATTCGAATGAATGGCATCTCATGAATGCATAATATTTATGAATAAGTAATTTCTATACACGTTGATGCGTATATGAATCACAAATACCAATAAATAAATACTTCCAATGGAGAGATTAAATGAATGGAACGGCATTATATGCAAATAGTAAATATATACATACACGCACAATTGAATGTCTAATAAAATCACAAATCGCTCATCATATCTAAATTGTACTTATAATATATAATCATGTAAATCGCAAAGAAACTATTCATCTTTCACGAGACGATTACTCATTGTACTTTCACGAACATTGGTATTGTCAATATTATTCGACAAGAGAACAACTATTAACCGTCAATGCAGGTGCATCAGCTGGCGACGAAGATACAGAAGATGAATTGGAATACGGTGGAGAATCGCGAGCAACAACGCTTCCACGTGGAATGCAATCCGCCATCAGTGCGGCTACTAATTCCTTGCCGCGACTATCTGTGCCGAGCGCGCCGACTGGCTTGACGACGACATCATTGTCATCGTCATCTGCAACAACAGCAGTAACGTCGACCTCGTCATCGATGCACAAGGCGCACAGTGTCTACCATTTCCTGCCACAGCACAGCGGCGTCAAATCCGCTCGATATCGACCTCCCGGCTTCGCCAGAAACAGCAATATCGGATCCGGCGGGATCGGCAGCGGACCCAAACGTGCCGTCAGTGCACCGGGCCTGCAAGTTTCCGGCTCACAATCGACCACCAACAAGCGAGATAATTCCAGATCGAGGAGGCAGCAGACGATGTCGCTCACGTCGGGTAGGTCATATTATATTCATGTTTCTTTAAACAATCGTCCATAAAAAGTCGAATACTTTCTAATTATAGATTTCCTGACAATTTTATTTTTTATTATATCTTTATTTCAGGCGTTGCATATTAGTGCTTTCTAATTTTTTTTAGATTTTTTAAAGATCAATACATAGTGAGAAGAGAATGTATGTGTAATATTTTAATAGATAAATTCTTAGAGTTCTTCTCGTATACTGAAATTCTGATTTATTTCTTAAGCTACTTGGATAATAACTTTTGCAACTAAAATATCAATGTACTTTCTCGTAAAACTTTAGGAAGGTCTTGTAATTTTTTAATGGACAATCTTTATAATGGGAGAAAGTATGGGAGCGACTTTTGATATATTCTTACAGTCATCAATTATATGTAGAATATTCTGCTATTTTAAATCTCATTACATTTACGGTAATATAATAACAGTGAGTGATCATTATTTATTATATGTATGTGTTTTATTAAATTATTTTTTTATTATACAAAAATGAAAAAAGACGGAGAGAGAACGTATTTCTCACGTTTAAATCTGTAGGCTAAAGTTTTGAGAGACAAGGAGAAAGCGCGCATGGATAAAAGGAAATTCAGTCGGTGGATATGTGTGATTCCTGCGTGATAAATTAGGCGGTCGCATCGTCACGCACACGTAGCGCGCACCATGCAAATGATTAAGTGTAAATATGAAATTATACGGTGAGCGTCATCGTAAAGAAAAATGCACGGCAAAAGAGAAACCGTTTGTAAATTTCTTTGTAGGTGAACGGCGGGAAACGAAAAGTTTTCGGAAATTTAAAACGCATAGTTTCTCAGTAATCTTATCTTATTTATGTTCAGTCTGTTTACTGGATGAAACAAGTAATAACTTTTTCGAAAAAATTTTCTTATTCGATAAAATTTTATTAAGCAAAATTAAATCTTTCTGAAAATTTTTATCAAAAAGAAATTGCCTGTTACACTTCAAAAATGTACTGTTGAACGATTTTATCATGAGAGAAAGAGAGACAAGGGGCTATATTGTATACTTATACATGCGCGAGAGCGAACGTGATTTTTATCTGTAAACTTGAACAATCCGAGTGACGGCAAATTCTTTAGTTGTCTCCTCTGAAGGCGTAAACGCTGCGAAAATCGGGATATTGCGAGAGCGTACTACTCGTCGCATAAAATTTGATGTAATATCAAGTCTGAACTAATTCTCTGATACCTTCTTATTCGTTACACACAACATACACACACACATTTTTTTCTCTGGCATAAATTCAATTAATTCATTTACAATCATGAATCACGATCATGATCCATTGCTTGATCATACATCATAAAGTTTCATTTTTTGGACATCATAATATTTATATTTTCATCATCATTATATTTTCTTGGCCAGCACTTGATTATAAAACACGATCATGACACGCAACCTTTATGAAAGTACCTTTTATCCTTCCGCCAATAATGTTATATATATCTTTTTAAAAAAAAGAAGAGAATAAGTAGATTTCATAATATGTTAGAAAAAAATATATATCGAAGATATAAACTATAAAATTAGTAGATAGTTCAAGGAAAAACTTTTTCAGGGAAAAGTTAAAACCTTAAATATACGATAAATGAGAGACAAAAAATATACTAAATGAATCCGAAACTATTCATTTTAAAATATTTATACAATATTTATGAAAAGTTTATTTTAATTATTACAATTAAATTATTATAATATAAAGCAGAAATCAAAAGAACTATCCAATATTCCATATTCTAACTATCCATATTCGATTATTAAAAAAATAATATGGAATGTTACAATTAAAAGTAGCTATGATTTTATACAAAAATAATTTTATTTTCTAATATAAAAATCTTTGAAATTAAATTCTACGAACGGATATTAATTTGCAGATTACACAAATTTTAACTAGAATGAGTCTTTGTATCCATTCTCTTGTTTATCATATTGGGAAATATATTCTTCGTTTCTTTGGAAATCAGAGCTCTTCTGAAGACGAACAATTTCTCTTGCGTCCTCCAGTTTCTGAAGTATACGGAAACAATCGCCTCTGTTTCTTTTTCTTTGCAAAATACGGAAAAACGCGTGTGCTGTTTCATTTTTGCAGAGAATGCGCGTTTTTATGCACGACAAATAGAATGCGCACACTGATAACGTGGCGCGTTCGTTCAGGTGCTCACCCATGTGTAACAGGTGCAACTGCTTTATTACGAAGTTTCCCTTCTTTTCTCCGACATCCCTATCGAGTTCCCCGCAGTTCCCGCACGACAATCGATAATGCCACGCAAGGGCCACTCCTCGCACCCGCACGCACTCCGCATGTGCGTACCTTGTTAAACCTTTCGCCCTGTTATTCTCATAATGCGATGTCGTAAAAGCAACATTTGTGCATATTCAACATCATAAATTCGCTTGCTTGTAACGAATTTAATTTATTGTTCCTCAGTTTCCACTTTATTTACCGAATTTACATGAAACATATATTTTCGTGAGTATTTGCACATGAATAAATCAACAGTTTGAATGTTTTCATGCACCATTATGTGTTTGACCGGCTTATCGATCGGTGAAATATATCGCAACGTTTGTCGAGCATTAACCCAGTCTACTTTTGAATGTGAATGTCTCTCGATAATAGTTTAACCTAGCTATGTTTTTCCTGCCTATATAACAAGTTATCGCAGTTAAAAATAGTGGTTAGAAAGAACCAGTTGCAACTTCAGATACCGTTAAAAACGTTCTTTGTTTTGATATTTCTCGCTAAAAAAATATATTCTTATTTCTTATAATAGAGAGAGAAAGAGAGAGAGAGAGAGAGAGAGAGAGAAATTAATTAATTTCTTTTAATATATCTATATTTTATATGGATCTTTCAAATCTAAATACATACATTTAAAGTTATAATAATTATATTATATTTTCATACAATTCTAATGTCATGATAAATAAAAGTTTTATATTAATTATTTTTTAATTCAATATGCAATATATAATATGCATTATGCAATATGTAAGAATTAATATTTGTTATATATTTATTATATAGTTTTATTTAAAACTAAAATAAGTAATATTATTTACAAAATAATTTTTTCTATCCATATTAATAATGTTGCTTTAAACTCAGCAATTATCTATATTAATTGCAATAAATTAACTTTACTCCGATGAAATTCAGTTTTTGCTGTTCAATATAGTATCTAATGAAATTATAAGGTCCTTGCCACTCCCGATTCCAACTGCGTCTCTTGCGAATCGATAACGGAGAAAACCACTCTTTAACTCATGATTCGAGGAAAAAAATCGTGTGCATAAAATTTCATCATCGAACGATTATTCTTTCATGTATGAAATTCTGTTTACGAATAAAAGTTTCGTTTAAAATAGAATTTAATGTCAATGTGATTAAATTTTAAACTAAATATTATACATAAAGAGGAAAGCCTCCTATTATGAGATAAGCGCTGAATATGAGATAGCGGCATTTCTGCTAAACGCTATCTATTGATTCCACCATAAATTTATTGCTCTTGGATTGAAAAGTATTTAGTAGAAAATTCATTATTAGATCATGTCTGTAGTCATTGTAAAACAAGATTTTAGAATTTGGATGTCTTCAAATTTCATTGAGATGAGCTTTTAAATTTTGTTTATTATTTAATAAATAAAAATTTAGCAATAAATTTTTCATGTAGTGATAGAGTTACGGTCATACTAAAGAAAAATACGGGATATGTTGAATTGTTTAATTACAAAAGATTTGAGATTTAATTAGATTAATTTGATCGTAAAACCATAATAGAAATCATAATATGAGTTACTCAGGGTATTTCTAATATGAAATAATGCTTCTATGTTATAGTGAAAATCATTGCTAAAGTATAAATGTTATTGTACAATAATAAAAAAGACAACCGGAATGAACGAGTGCTTATTTCTGCAAGGTACTTGCAGGCCTGGCTGTGTTTGTTTGCATTTAAGAAGCATTAAATAAAGTTTTTAATTAGCAATACTGATATACTTCGCGTTTTACTATCGATTTCGGGGCATCTCATATTAGAAGCACAATTTTTGGACTTTGCGATTTGCTCACTTTTTACATTTCTTTAATTAAAAAAAAAAATATGATTTGAATTAAATTTTATATAACGTTATCTTAAAGCTTATTAAATTCCCTTCAAAATGATCTATTGTTTTTTTAAATTTTGCCTATAGACTTCTAGCATTTATCCAAAATGAACTCAGTATTTCATAATAGGAGCTCCTCTAATATTTAAGTTTAAAGTAGTTGATATGTATTCATGGATAAAAATACAAAATAAAATACGTAGAATAAAAATCCTCCTATAATTAAACGTCAAAATAAAATCTTGTTCTATTTATGCTCCTTACTTTGATAGTTCTCTTTAATATACAGTATTACATACATCCATTAATCGATTCAACGCTTACTGGAGCAAAGTCGAGCTCGAACTCGATAAAAAATACATACTCTGATTAAATCGATTGAACATGAAAATTTTTTTAACATTATTTTGTCTTAACATTTTTTTATAAATGATGTATACAAAGTAGATATAAATTAAATATATTTTAAAGAAATTAAATTTATTTTTCTAAATATGTTTTATTTCTCTTTCAGTTTTTCAATTATTTAAAATTTAATGAATTTAATTAAAATATTTCATCTTAATTTTCTAAAAAAAGATAGATTTTTCGTAAAATTACATCAATACATCATGACTACCATATGCGGCTTACACACATTCTACGTTATATGTTGCTCGTTTGTGACTTCTGAGTCGCGAAACTCCATACTCGTTCACCAGTCAGACTCGTTCATCTTTTTTTGTTCGTTAGAGATCGGTCGGCGACAGGTTTACGTTCAACGTCATAGACATTGCAATGCTCTATATTCACCAACCAACGATGGTTGTTATGTTAATTAAACCAGATGAATTTTTGT